AGTGATTTTTGTGCAAATAAGGAGTTGATAGCTTGTTCTAGTACTGTCGAATACAGAAATGAATTTTTGGGCAGGTCGAAGAGAGCAAGTGCTAAGCCTTTGTTGTCGAATGAGTGGGAGACGTACATACATCATGTAGGGCAGAAGTTTGACGGTGGTGCAGAGGAGTTCCGTTTGAAATTGTGCAAGTACGCTCTTGAAGTAGGATTTAATTTTTTATATGCCGGCAATGACAAGAAGCGGGTGGTTGCTATTTGTTCGAATAAGAAATTGGAGGGTTGTAGCTGGCGTGTTTATGCTTCTCGTTGTGAAGCTACTGGCTGTTTTGTAATTCGGACATTAAATAATGTGCATACATGTGTGGGTCGGATACGGGAATCAAAGAGTAAGATGATGAAGTCTCGTGTGGTGTCCTCCCTCATTGTGGACAGAATTCGTGCAAAACCAGAGCTGAAGCCAGTTGAGATTATACACGAGTTCAAAGATTATTATGGTATAGACATTTCATACTACCATGCATGGTTTGGCAAAGAGTTAGCTAAATTGAACGTTCACGGTGATGAGTCGAAGTCCTTCAACGAGTTAGTGTGGTATGCGGACGCCGTAAAGGAAACTAACCCTGGTTCTCTCTGCACTCTTGAATGTGAAGCTGGAATTAATCGCTTTAGACGGTTTTTTGTGTCGTTTGGCGGTTGCATTGCTGGATTTCAATATTGCATACCCTTGTTGTTCGTTGATGCTACGTTTTTGAAGAGCAAGTACAAGGGGCAGCTTCTCTGTGCTTCCGGAAAGAATGGAAATCAAGGTATGGTTACTGTAATGTATTGCAGATTCCATTTGTTGCAATTTTTTAGCAGAAACTGCATTGCAGTTTCTTGTTTCATAATTCGATTTTCTTAGTAATTTTTTTATGTCTGTGGGAATGTTGCAACTGCTCATGAACTTAAATGTGTTTTAAATTTAGTTTTAGTACTTGGATCATGGATTTGCCTTTTGGTTTCCTTTCAAATTTGAGCAGATTTGTTTTCAAAAACTGCACTGCAATTTCCCTTTTTTGCTTATACTTGTGCTCTTGGTTTTGTTTTGCAGGGTTTTATCCTCTAGCTTTTGGAGTTGTTGATTCTGAGACAGAGGAGAATTGGACTTGGTTTCTTCAACATTTGGCTTCTATTTTGCTACCGATGGGGAGAGTGGTGACCTTTTTTTCGGATCGCAATCAAGGTTTGTTAAATGCAACGGGGTTTGTGTTTCCTGGATGGCCTCATTCTTACTGTTACTATCACCTCAAACAGAATTTGATATCGAAGTACCCGAAGTCAGGTTATGGGAAATTGCTCCAGGATCGTGTTATCAATTTATTTAGTAGGTGCGCATATACTGTTACAGAGGAAGAGTTTACGGTAGCAATGGAGGAGTTGGTGATTGTT